CAAAATCAATTGTTAACCTGGACTTGGAAAAATTACCAACTGAAAGTGCTCTTGGCATGTATGGAACACTGACAATGATTGTTTTATTTGGAAGAATATGAGCGAACTCTACGTTGGCGCATTTAACAAAACCATGACGAGAAGGGGAATTCTTTCTATTGTTTATTCACTATTTGACCCTTTAGGCTTCATAGCACTGTTCGTTATGAAGGCGAAATTAATTCTACAAATGCTAAGTAGAAAACAATTAGGATAGGACGATCCAATATCGGACGAGGACAAATCACAGTGGACAAGATGCAGTTGACTGATTCCCAAAGACTTTGTGAAATCCAAGTTCCAAGGAGTTTTAAGTCGAAAGATTTGAGTGACATTGTTGATACTCAACTTCATTTATTTTCGGACGCTTCGCGTATCGGGTATTCGTCTGTAGCTTATTTGTGATTTGTGGACAATATGGGTAACATTCATTGTGCTTTCGTGATGGGAAAGGCTAGACTTGCGCCTCTTCGCGAAATATTTATTCCTCGATTGGAACTATCGGCTGCAGTCATCTCAGTAAAACTTTGTAAATTAATTCAAGAAGAATTAGACTATAATATTAATTGTATTGTGTATTGGACAGACTCTATGTCAGTTTTGAAATGTATTAATAATGAGACAAAACGTTTTCACACATTTGAGTCAAATCGCTTGACTATTATTCATTCTGGAGCTGAAGCATCTCAGTTCAGATACGTTGATCGAAATTTGAATCCTGCTGACGATGGATCAATAGGATTGAAATTAAAGACTTTTATTCAAAATGATCGTTGGCTAACCGGACCTGAATTTTTGTACCAGGAAGAACACTTATGGCCTAAAATGATTGATATTCCAGTTATGTTAGATACAGACCCTGAAATTGGCAAAAAAGCTCAAAATTATGCTGTTGAAACTGACAATAAGAATCCTATAAGTGAATTTTTCAAAAGATATTCGTCTTTTCTAAAGTTGAAGAGAGCCGTTGCTTGGATATTGAGGCTTAAAAGGATTTTACGCGGGAACGGATGATCCGCTCTTTGAAACAAATTTTAAAATCTGTTCTTAAGGAACAAATTGTAAGCGATGAAGTTTTTTTGACTGTTGTAGCTGAAGCTGTTCTTATTTTGAATAGTCGACCATTGACTAGGAACAGTGGCAGTGTATTAGATGATAAACCACTTACTCCAAATCACCTATTACATTTACGTTTTACTTCTAGTGTACCTCCAGGAACATTTGACAAGAAAGATCTTTATTTAAAGCGAAAATATATTAGTGATTTGTTCTGGCGTAGATGGATAAACCAGTATTTGACTACGTTGACAGAGAGATCCAAATGGTATACTGTTAAACGGAATATTGCTGTCGTAGACTTAGTTCTGGTGGCTGATGATAATTTTTCACGTGGACAATGGCCTTGGCTGGAGTTGTCGAATCATTTAGATCAAAGGATGGTTTAGTTAGAACTGTAAATGTTAAGATAGCTTGCGTTGCAAGGTAACATACGCCCGCTGACAGCTGTCGGAAATAATAAAACAGTCTTTAGTGACTAAAGTACGAATTTTCTCATATTGAAGAAATTATTTATGCTGAATAATTCCACAAAATTTTTTAAAATCAATATCAATAACACAAATACAACAAACAATTAAATCACACAGCTCTAATCAAGGGCAAAAAACAACTTTTGACGCGTGTTTACAAAGTCAAGGGCAATAAAAATGTTCATCAAAAATGCGTCAAGTTAGAACTTTTAAAGAATCACAATCTCACGTATGTTCCTGAAAACATTCCAATCAATACTACTACATTGGATTTATCATTTAACCAACTAACCACCATCAGAAACAAAGATTTCCAACTTTTAGACAATCTGGTTTGCTTAATTCTCAGCTTTAATCCTATTTCTCATATAGAAGAAGAAGCTTTTGTAGGATTGGAAAAGTTACAGGTGTTAGAATTAAACAACCATTCTTTGGATTATCAAGTGTTTGATCCAGATGTGTTTTTCCCATTCAAAATCTGCACAATTTGTCGATGAGAACTAAGTTAACTGTTACTAATGATAAGGTAAAAGTGGTTAAAATTTTGAAAAACTTTAAAAATCTGACGTCAGCCATAATTGATACAGCATCGAGAACAGTTTTTAACCTGAATGTCACCAATCTTCGTAAAATCAAACAACTGGTTATTGGAACTATTGACAGTTTTGAGTGTGGTCTACAGTTTTTTAATAATGATACTTTTCAAGGATTATCTAAGCTTGGAGTTGAAGTTCTTGATCTCTCAGGGTGTACAGCTCTTGATATTCAGGATGGCTTTCTGAAACCTTTAGAAGTTCTGAGGACTTTTTTGTTCCAATCGGGAATCTTTCCAATAAAAGTTGGATTGCCGGAATTAATACAATCGTTGCGATTTTATATGAACAAATCTATGACAGAAATCAATCTCTCCTTTCCAAACATAGATTCGCGACTGTTTTTAGAAGATCTGACTATAATATCTATGGAAATATTAGGTAATATTTGTGTTGAAAAACTTATTTTATCCAAAGGAGATATTAATATTATAAATACCATAAACGCAGTTGTTCATATCAAATCAGGACATCTTGTTTTTCCGTGTCTACAAAAGTGTATTAAACACCTAGATGTATCTCATAATCGTATTTCAGGCACATTTTTTAAGCCAGAACTCTTCCTAATAGCTTTTATGGAAAATCTCGAGTTTGTTGATTTATCGGGACAGTATCTCTTTCAGCGAAGATATGATTATTCGTTTTCTACAGCTTTTTCGACATATGCTGACACACAGCCTTTGCCAGATATAATTTTCTTAATGCCCAAAAAATTAAAACATTTTAACTTGGGTGGAGGTATCTATAGAATAGGTCAACTTCTAAATATTACTTTTGAAAATGCACATAATCTAAGATACCTCAACTTTTCATTAAATGGACTCTATGGTTTTAATGTAACTTTAAAAGGTCTGCAAAATCTGAAAACCTTGGATTTGAGTGGAAATGATGTCAGCGTTATCATTGAAACATTTTTTGACACTTTTCCTAATGTGACACACTTGAGACTGGCTGATTGTTTTTTGGATAATGACTTCATCTTAACACACGGTAGACGTTTATTTCAACCCTTAAAGAAACTTGAACAATTAGATTTATCCAGAAATAATTTGATCAAGCTTCCAAAAGATATATTTAAATCTCTGAATCAACTGAAAATTATAAATCTGGCATTTAATAAACTTTTTTCACACCCAGACTATCTTAATACACCGAACCTTCATATACTATACCTTAATTTCAATAATTTTATTAGCTTTTCATCTCAAGAAATACAAATGTTCAACAAATTAGAACAGATGAGAAAAGATAAAGGCAATTTAAAACTTTATATATATGGTAACTCATTAGCGTGTACATGTGAAACTTATAGTTTTATATCGTGGATAACTTTCACTACTATTGAGTTAGACAGAAAAAACTATACGTGTATAGATCAGAAAGGTGACTTGATATTTACCGCTGATTTCAAAAATTTAAATTATATTCAATGTGTCTTCATCTT